GAAGATGGAGCAAAAAAGATTCTGCGATGCAAAAAGCGGAAGAAGGATTGGGTGGGCTCTGGAGGGAAAGGTTCTATTTTACAAGTTGTGCGCCGAAATTAAGGAACTCCGAAGAAACCCTCAAACTGGAGAGCTTTTCGAAAAACAGATGAGAGAACAGTTCAGGGAGGAATGCAGAAGGAAGAACGGTAGAGTTATACTATCAACAAACTCGGAACAAAGGGTTGACGTTACCRTGATGGAAAACATTTATGTTTCCGAAAGGTTCAGAAACCTTACCGACGACCCCATAAAGTGTGCCGGGAACAATTTAATCCTAGTGGAAGATGTTTAGTATTCCAAGAAAACCGTTTTAGAATTCATTCATCATACATAATTATAACATGGTTAGTCATGTGATTTCTGATCCGTGGGGTAGTTACGAAGCCCGACTTTTATGTACATTCGATAGCATATGGTAGCAGAATCTTCGTTCCAGACATTGATTCCGCCAAGGTTATTTGAGAGTAATAYTATTTGTGTGTGAGAATCTTGAGATTAAATTCCAAAATTTGTTGTCCAAGGGTACAGACATCGCAAACGTTGAGGTTGTGTATCACGACCCCCCAACATAAAAATATCGAGCMGTGCAAAAGGGATTGAGGGTCCAAAAACCGGCAGAATAAATTTGTGCGGCTAGTGAAACGAAATGTGTCACAAAATTAATCGCAAAACGAGGGTCGTCACCAAGCTTGATAATCACAAATTACCCGTGTKAAGTGGTCGCACAAAAACTACGCGCATGGGGGTGCGACCAAACCCCGCGATCACTTTTTGTGACGTGCTTAAACAAGAAAAAGAAACAATGATGCGAAACAAAGAGAAATGAGGAGAGGCAATATTCTCTTAGTTTTTCTTTGTTACGACAATGAGAAACAATGAGAATAGTGCCTTTCTAAATGAAGAGAAAAATTCTCTTTGTTTCTCCTTGTTTCGAGGGGTGTAAGCGAAACTTTTCTATTTTAAACAATTTACTAACTGAGGGCCCTGTATTTCCATCATCTTCCACTACTACTGTGCTGTAAAAAACTACCGCACTACTGTACACATGAAACCTTTTCGAAGCCCCTGAAATGTTTTTATTTTTCACGCGATACAGTTCAACTCGTACTGGGACGAACGAAGTACAGCACGGTAATTAAATTATTTTTAGTCAAATGGCTGATAGTTTGAATCGACCATGCCGCTCGACTTGGAGTTACCGTTATTTTCTAGTTCTCTGCAAACGTTCGCTACGAGATGTGATTCAAAACACCAATTCAAAAGTTTTTTTGTTTTCCTTCGCTTTTTACTCATACCGGTACGGGTACGTGTAGTACTGAACCTCTTTGTACGAATGATCCGGACAGCGCATCATTCAGGCAAAAACGGGTGGGTGTATTGCAGAACATACAAAGCAATATATCGAAGTCCTATTCAACAGCTTTTCGCAAGCAAACTCTCACGTCTGTTGAAAAATTCAGCGCAACACCAATACGGGAGTTTCTAAACCTCAAAATCTGGAGTGCTTTACGTATCATCGAATTCATTGAACAACGACATCATAAAAATGCCGGGGAAACGGAAAGCGGACGACATGGCCTCTTCAGAATCAAGGGATAGGCCTTCCAAAGCAGCAAGGCTCAAGGCAGCAAGGGAAAGAGCTTCGCAATATGCGAAACGTGACAAGGAGTCGCTCGAAAAGCAAAAGGCCAAAAAGAATGCACCAGCCGCTTCCCAGAAGCACACGAAAGCCACCACAACGGAAGCCGCAGCACCGAAAGCAGCGGCAACAAAATCTCCAGACAAGACCATGTCGACTGCAGAACGCAAAAGGGTCGCAAGGGAAAATGCGAAGAAATTTGCGGCAAGAGACATGAAAAAACTGGAATCGAAGAAAAAGTCGTCACCTTCTGCTGTGGGGCTCAAGAAAGAACGAAAATCAAAAGAAACAAAGCAGCTAAGAAAATCTTCCGGAAAGCAGCAGAAGACAGAAGCAATTGCACCTTTGGCTCTGGATCCTGCCGAAACGAATCGTACTGCACACTCAATCGAACCGATGAGAGTCGTGGAATCCACCCCATCTCAGGGGAACTTCCCGCATATTGCATCCTACCAAAACACCATGCCGAATTATCAGAACTTTGGTGTTGACACGGACCCGACCCAAATCGCATCGTTACAGCATCACATCCAACAACATCAGTTCCAACAACACCAGCTCCACCAACATCAGATTCAGCATCAGATGCAAATCCAGCGGATGCAAGAATTAGCATGGCGGCAACAGCAACAAGAACAACGTGAAGCCCTGCAACAGTTGATGTTACAGCGTCAACAACAAGAAGAGCTAATGAAAGCCGTCAGCATTCCAATGTTTCAGGAGGACAGCGAACTGTTTTCTGCCTCTCAAATCGACAAGACTGTGTTTTCATCCGATTCTATAGCTCCGCAAGCTGCCACCAAGAATAATGAATCACATGTGCTACCTTCAGCGAGCTCAGACCCTAATATAGCCACCAAGGCAGAAGTGGATGATGTTGGTAAGCGACCTCCATCCGATCCATCGGCCCAAACGGAAGTAAGCCAAGTGATCTCTTCGAACGCACTAATCGGCACAGATGACTCAGTTCATCAATCTTCCCCCGAGAAGGAAAAGGACAACAAAGAAGGAAAGGAGAAACACGCAGTCGATGACGAGAATGGAAATACAGAACCTATCACTAGTGCTCTTGGAATTGAAGAACACTCAGAACCCTCTCAAAATGCTGTTGAAAACGAGGAAAAGGTGGAATCAACGAAGCGAAAAATGAACTGGCGCCAAACATCCGTAGCAGTCATTGTCGCTTTGCTTGCAATCGTTTTCTTCCAAATAGTACCAGCGCCAAATACTGATGTATCACAGATTCCAGATGAAAATTCGACCGATTCGAAAGAAATGCTGTGCTATTTCGATTTTCCCGAGTCTGAAGTCGACGTACCTTGTTTGTTAGATGGAAACGAGGGCGTAGAATGTCCCGAACGTGGTGTGTGCGAAAACGGATACTTCGTTGGGTGTGTAAACCAGTTTGAAAATAGATCGGATCAAGGGGATAAGTGCGTACTGAATGAAGACTTGAAAAGGGCCATTACGAATCAGCTCATGAGGCAAGCCTCGCAAATTTGTGACCAAACTTCGGAACCAAAATTTAAATACTCCATGCTGCAAGAAATAGATTCAGCTATTCCGGAAACTAATGACGACGTGCAAAAAGTTTTGAGAGAAGTAGGATTTGTTGTCGAGGAGAGAGAGGATGGTTTGTACGTAGCACTTCCCGAAGATTTCAACATGAGTTTACCAATTCATTGTGCCATCGGAAATATAGGGCAGTGGTTTCTTGAAAAGTTAGGTCTTCTCATATTGGGATTATTCGGGTCCGCTTGCAGCTTTGCTTGGGCCTATAAGAAGCTTTCTTTGGCTTTTGCAACACTCTTTTTGTGTGGGATGAAATATCACGACCATCTTGCTACGAAAGCAAGGCGTCAAGAGGATGTCAAGCGAACTCGTGCATTAGCATATAAGACACTCGAAGAGAGTCCTGCAGTAGATCACTGGGCCATTCATATTCGGGATGAAATAGCTTTGGCGCTCTACCCGGATTCCAAAAAGCTTCGACTCACTTTACGAAAAGATGTCTGGCCAAAAATCGTAGATGATGTGAAGCGCGATACCCGCATCCGCAAGTGCCAGAAATTAAACGAGGATGGAAACGTATGGGATAAGTGGCAATGGACAGCGGTGGCCAAATCTTCTAGTGAATCGTGAAGATGGAAGTCCTTGATATTATAAGGAAGATGACATAAATGCAATAAATCTTTGTTTAGCTAACATTCATCCCTCATTCAGAGAGATGAAGTCAATGATAATTTTAGTCTTGTTCATTCAAAACAGACGCATGAATGGGTTTATGGTTCCTAGCATTTTTATGTGATATATTAATTTTTTATCAAAATATTATACTGTCATTGCCGAGTTGGATTTCAGGTGTCTCCAACAAAACACCAAGGATTCCACTTTCTAGTAGTAGCTCCGCTGCATATGAATTTCCTTTCCTGTGGTTCCAAGCTGGTTGCGATTACTACTGTACTGGCTACTACTACTTTACTTCAAAGATCCTATTGTATGCATGTAACAAGTTGCCATAATTGGTGCTGGTTTGTAATGGCTCTGTTTTCCAATACATACCGAAGAGTACTGGCAGGTATCCGTGCTTTAAAAAACATGTGCCATGATCTCGGTAGTAAAAGGAGGAGGGGCGACAGAAAACCAAGCAAAATTGTAAAAATCGAAGAGCACGAGTATTCGTACGTGTCGTACGCAACCTTACAGGTCGGTACGTACGAGGTTGTGGTGTTAAATATCGCGTCCAATTTATAACAGGTTATGAGTCAAACTTTTGCGAGCCGTTTTTAGTAACCAGGAGCAAGCTTTGCATGCTTGTTAATGATAGCAAAGGACCAATCAGATTTAGAGAATCCGTGGGCTGGAAAGGGTTTTCTTTCCTCTTCACAACGATGTGCACATTACTGGGTGTTTCTTTTCGAAAACCTTTTTGGGCTTGTTGATTTCTCTCCGCACCGAAAAATGCAAAAAACATAGGGACCTGTCACCTCTTTAGTTCAACACTTTAACCAACACTAACAGCGCGATTGATATAAAGGATTGCTTCATTATAATAAGGGGAAGGCATCAAATAAGCTTTGATCCGCAAGTATCGTCACGATAGACCAAGTATTTTGAAAGAAAAAGCAGTTTTTGCTGTATTTTGGGTGTATTTTGGCTCTGAAATGAGCAATAACAACAACAACACGAGCTGCAAAAGCACCACAGCAGCCATTGGATCAGTTTGGAATGGATACGCGGTCGCGCCGTGTCCTAGGACTCTTGCTGCTGGTATGGACCTATTCAATATGAGGAGCCAGGGGTTGAAGTGCACTGTGAAAGGAGCCATGGAAGATTCTCAAATGAGGAGGCAAGCAACAAAACACTGCAAAGAAGAGCACAAAGATGCTCTGAAAGAATAAAGGCGCGGTCCTGGTGTGAGTATGTTGCCCCACCATTGCCACCAACAAAGGTCTCCAGTATCACCACAGAGGAAGAAGAAGAAGAAAGAACCCCCCCCCCCCTTGTCTGATATTACAAACAATAACAACAAGCGACCCAACCTTTGCAAGGAAAAACAAATGCTGGAGAAGGAGAAGAAGAAGCTGAAAAGGGATAACCAGAAAAGGGATACAGCTTCACAGTTGCATGCAAGACTAAAGAAGGATTACCAGGATGCTGAGGTTGAAAGGAAGGCCTACATGGCGGTTATTTTGAAGGTAAAGCACCAATGAGCAAATTTGCCAAAGCAACTGCATACGTCCATTGCGAAAATTGTGAGAGAGATGAACATGATTTATCTGGCTAATCTAAAGAAAGCAGATACAGTGCAGAGACAGCTTTGCTTGGGCTTGGAAGAACCCCCCCCCTAAAAAGGGGTGAAGGGCGATTCTTCCTGAAAAGATTGAAACGGCTTTTATTAATGCGATGACTTCTTTTGTGAATCTCGGCTGTTCAGATATGAATGTTCAACCACGACCCCCAGAACTACTCCAAATGCTACTTGCGTGCCTCAAGAGCGGACCAACGGTGGTACTGCAAGACCAGCATTTGCTGTTCAAACGATGTACAAAGTGGTTTGCGATAAAGTTAAAATTGTGACCGGTAATTCCAAGATGGAAGAGCTGCGTGCCCAGTGGACAACGTATAATAAGATTAACACATTCTTTGATTCACTTCGTGAAAAGCTTGTCAACCTTGGATTTGCTCGAGTTAGAATGGATGGTGAAGATGGTGATGTGAAGGTGAACTGGTGTTGCTTCCGAACCAGTTGAATTGTATTGTGAATCTCAACAAGAGTGCTTTGACTTTGGACGGCTGTTCCTTTCTACTAGCTGGAGGCAGAGCACCCACTTGGTATGGGCCTGCAAGCAAGAACATTGCCTGTGGTGCCAATCGCACAAACAAGAGCAGCTCCCGAATCACTCTTGTTGCTGGAAGCAATGCGGCGGGATTGATGCTGGATTTAATGGAGAGATATACCAAAGATATGCCCCAAGGCAATCAGCTTCTGCGACACCAGTGACAAAAGCTGGAACAAGGGAACGGCAAAATGTGATTGTCACTGTAAAATACTCTAGTGAGCATTTTATTAGGACCAAAGGCAATACACTAAACAGTGACGACTACTTCATTGCTGAAGAACAAAAGAGGCGACAACAGCTTGTTAAGGATCTGGAAGCAGCAAAGAAGAAATCCAAAGCAGTTAGTGAGTTGAATGCAAAGGCGACTGCAGTGATTCTGGAATTGGTATCAAAGGGGGGGAAAGATGTGTACAAGGAGGAAGATGCCAAGTCACTTTCAGTATCAACACTCAAACTATTGTGCCAGTGGAAACAGCAGAAGAAGATTCCTGCAAAGAAAGACAGTGTATTTGGTATGTGGATGCAAGTTAGGAATCTCCCTTCTGCAGAGCCTTCCTGGAGGGACTCTGATGAAGCTCAAATGCAGAACCTGAAGGAAGAAGATATCACAATCAGGGAGACTGCATTAGGAAGGGAGAGAGTTAGGCAACAAGATGATGCTATTAACTGCCTTGCAGCCATGACTGAGGAGGAAAGAACTGCTAGAAATCTTCCTCCTTCAATTCTGGAGGCTCTAAAGGGAGTGGTTGAAGTTGCTGAAGTGTAAGAGCAGTTTCCAGTAGTAAATTCCAGTAGTAAGTGATTTAGTAATTTTATGTTAAGAAAAATCTGTTCTTGGAATTGATTTCGATTTCAATTTCAATTTTATTCCATGCAAATAAGCAGGGCCCTCCGGAACCAACGCGCGCGCATCCCCCCTTTGAAATCTAATATCGGGGGTATGATTTCGTGGGTTTTTTTT